GTTGTCTTCACCCTTCCCAGTGTGGTAGCTCTTTTTTTGTGTGTGAAATTATTTTTTAACCATTTGACTTGAATTTGATTTAAGCAGATGCATATTCTTTGTGATATGACCATATGGGAAACAAATGATCATTTAGCCATTTATTTTTAGCTCAAATGGGTTGCCCGGCCCTGGCCACGAGGTGTCCCTTATTTATTTTTCAGGGAGTTGGCAACCCTATGCACAGCATTCCTGTAGAGGTTAAACTGGCAGTATGGAGTTCCACTGTGATGTGTCTGAGGGAGAAAATTTAGAGAAACCAACATTAATTTGTGCCAATTTGCCAAAAGAGAAAGTGAGAGAGATTTTCCTTCCAGGGACTTTGTCAAGCCATCCAGTGTGCTTCACAGACGGGAAAGTACATAAGAACAGACACGCATTTCAATGATGCATTCTCAAAATGGTGTTCTGTAAACTGACCAGAGGTGCACAAGAAAATTATCTTGAGGGGGAGATCTGCTAAAGTTCAACAGTTTCTTTTAAATAATCACACCTCATAAGATAAGATAACCTTTATTAGTCCCACGCGTGGGAAATTTGTTGGGTTAAGGCTGCCGACCTTTGGCAGCGCCATCTTACCCTTCCGACCATACACACATTACAGCATCACATGGGGAAGACAGGTCAGAGAGGTATAACAATGGAAAATGCACAAATTGTGGAAAGACGAGGAGAAAAAAGAACTCCCCCCAGACTGAGCTCCAACAGGGAGATCAGTTTGAGAACAGACAAAAAAACACCTCAGCACATGAATCAGCACATCTCTCTACATAGAAGACATAAGCTTCGAAGGCGTTTGGAGGGTGTGTGTGTGTGTATGTGTGTGTGTGTGTGTGTTCCATGTTCAGCCGAGAGAAAGTGTCCCTTCGCCCAGTTAGGCAAAAGTCAACAATCTTCGGTCGACGCGGGTGGCCTTGACTGATGAGGGAGAGAGTCACAACACAGTCTTATAATCTAAAGAATAAAGAATTGTTGTTCTGTCATCTTTGATTTGATGAAGTAATTTCAGGGTTGATTAATTGGTTCCCTCTAGAAAGAGACAAAGAATGTCAAGTAAGAAGAACATGGAATCAGGATCAAAGAGAAGGAAGAGACAAATGAGAAAATAATGAGTTAAGAAGTGTCTTATTGTGAACGCACCTCAAGTTTCTGCTTGTGTAAGCACATTAGAGTCAAGATGTTCCTCGGTGAGGTGTTAAATGTACCTAGCTGAGTGGTGAAGTGCCTGCTATCAGCATGATAAATGTGCTTCTGACATGATAGAGCTATCTGTTCCTTCTCCCAGGACATTTACCTGCAATGTTCCAGTGACTCACTCACACACAACCTGGGGATATTTCTGTGCACATTTGATATTGAAATTAAATCTACGTGCCCTGAGTGGTCCATCAGAGA